TTAATTTCAGCTACTGAACGTCTACACTAAATCACGGTAATTTTATGATAGTATTACCGTGACTGAATATAGGCCTCCCTCAGAATCCAGATGAGATGAGATGATTTCCAGATTGTCCGGCCGGAGCATTACTCATATTTGTGAATTTATTTATTTATATTTTTTAGGGAAACATAGTTACAATAATATAATTTAACTTAGGTGCAGTAAGAAAACAATGCTTTGAGATTTAGTTAAGTTAGTTAAATAGCATAAAATACTAGGATAGGATGCTCCTATTTTGTTATTAATTTACTCGTAAGTTCCCAAAAAATACATTTGGGAACATACGAAGGACAGGTAAGTAGGTACGCATAGTTTGACAAGAAATAACCTGAACCTGACAAAGAGTGTGTCATTTAACAGTTTTTAGCGACCAATGTTGAACTTTTTTCAGAAAATGTTACTTGTAAATCATCTCTTGAACAGAAGTGAATTCAATAAATTTCATACATTTACGTACCTGAGGGAACACAACTCCAAATACTTCCCACAATCTGTCTCTTGACAAATCGTTCAAAACCGTTTAGCCTGTCAAAATTACCAAAACCCTCAAAAGTATAGGTAGACTTTAGACATGACTGTCTGGGCAAACATGAGGTGTCTAAGGTAGGAATATGAAAAGATTTAGGTTTTATTATCCTTGAAGAGTTAGAAGGGTTGGAGCTAGGGTTGCTACCAAACATCTGGAAAATCCGGAATCGCCCCAGTCCAATAATTTTGCGGCAGTTCCAGCTATCCGTTTCCGTTTTTTCTCTCGCTCTCATCAAATGCATAGTCAAATGGGTATTCTTTGCGATGGAAGTGTCTGTTTCAAAATCCGGATTAAAACTCTTATGTCCTTTTTCAACTCAAGGTATTTCTATAACAAACATCCAAATCGGTTCAGTGGTTTAAGCGTAAAAGTGTAACAGTCAGACGGAGTTACATTCGTATCTTCTATATTATACTCGTAAAAGCGAAAGGTCACTGACTCACTCACTCATCAGGAAANCATTGTTCTTTCAGAAACTACATATTATTATTATAAGTGCTAGGAGTCTCAAATTTTGCATGGGGATTCCTTTTAGAACGTAACTAGGTGCTCACTAAGACAGGATTTTGCAAAATTCAACCACTAGGGGGTGAAACTGGATCCACGCGCACGAAGTCACGGGCGGCCGCTAGTTTATTTTTTTATTTATTAGGGAAGCAGGTTTTACAAGACTCGTAGAAGGCCTTAATATTTTTTTGCTATACATTTGTTTGTATAATGGTGATCTTTTTTGTCTTGAAAACCCATCGAAACCAGGCACCCTTTGTTCTAGTCTAGACAGCCAGAGTCAAAGAGGTAATTAATTGTCTGACCTTTTCTAAGCTTAAGTCGCTGGCTCTGAAATTATGTTGCTAATCGCTTTATTAGGTTAATTCCAGCTTTAAGTCTTAATTCAAAAAGGGAAATGGGAACTTTTTTAACAAAAGGTTAATTAAACTTTTCTTGTGACCTGTCTGGGGATTGATTCTGAGACTTCGGAGTCTAGTATTAACTCTTGCTTACCGCTGTAATCCTTCTTATTTAGGGAATCTATATCTATCTACTATCCCTATTTCTCTTGGTGTCGTGACCAACGCGTGAACGGCTGGACCGACTTCTCTAATTCTTTTTTATTATCAAGAGAGGTTTCGTAAGAAAATTTTAAAAATTTGCGTGGATTAGTAATTAAAATAAAGAATTTAAGACTTAAGTAAACTAGCCTTCAATCTGTTCTCAAGACAGGCCAACGTCGAATTATCGAAAATTTTTAAGGATCTAACTCGTTTACCCAAAAAATACTGGACAGATTTTGATAAACTTTACAACGATTTAGATTAAAAATCAAAATAGCACATAGGCTAAAATTTATCGAAGTCCACCCACGTGAAGCCATGGGCAGAGGCTAGTTTAATATAACTCGGAAACGTATTAAGCGCACACGACAAATCCTTTCGTATATTCGGAACACGTCCTCCCTGCAGACTGCGGGGGAATCAAAACTCAATTTTATCGACATCTTAGGGTTGTGGGTAAATCATCGATTGTGGAAAAATCGATAATGTTTTGAAAATCAGTTATTTAGGATAACGTTTGGTAACAGGACCAACGAGCTAATTCTATAACTCTTGGCTAAAAAATAAAATACTTGGCTTAAAAGGTAGTTAAAAAACCAGAATTAATTACCTAGGTCCAATAAATTAGAAAACTGTTATTGTATGGACATCTACACAGTTATTAATTTTGTCTGAAATCATATAAGATTTTTTTTCCCTGATTTTATTTCAGCAGCAGTGAGCTAAGTATATCATAAAAATAATCGATATAAATCAAAACAGTAATCGATATTTCATCACATCTGTCACATCACTACGAAGTCTAAGCCGCTGAACGCTTTCTATAAATCGTTGGATTGCTATACCGAGTGTGCCATTCTCGGATAGATTCTTTGTATCGATTAGATATCCATTTCTGAAGGATCGAGAAAACTCCAACCGAGTTGTGACTAGTTAAACGACGTTTAAGGACTCTTATTACTCGATTGCGCCAGAAGGAGGGTTTGATTTTCAAGTATACTTACGGGACTATTCCCACCTCTCGTTCCCACCACTGCAACTCCTGTGTAGCCAGGATCTACAGCTTGACCGCCATAAAAAACCCAACCAATGAAGGTCAAGTTGGTCCCGGGGGAAAGTTAAACTGTCATTGGACCCGCAACGAAATTAACGACAAGTATAGTTGCTATGCGTCTTTGGCAGACTAATGGATTTTAGTTTGAAAGCTTTGGAAGGGAGAAAATCGCGTGATACTTTTTGTTGCAGACCGAATGACACGAGGTTGGTGTCGCGGGAAATAGCTAGGCAATAAACATACTACTTGATAAAAAAATATTTTTTATTTATTTTTATTTTATTGTTAGGAAAACAAACAGCATTCTATAACACATATAGAGTTACCAATTAAACTTGTAAGGGAGAGTCCGCTAATTTGGACCAGTTTTTTTCAATCCCATTTTACACATAGTTTTCTTTTGTTTTTGCTNTAGTATAGAAGTATAGATTGGATGAATCCGTTTCTTATAACAATGAACCAAGACGACGTCTGTACCGTGTTACGCTGGCGGCGCCTTGCCGTTTTGATGGGTCCAGATCCTAAATCGGTAATTACAACCGCGAAGAATGTTATTCGGATATCCGGATAATCCAAGTCCGGATAATTGAGATTTTACTAGACTCGTAAAATCGATATAAATAACGACGACGATAACGAATGAATATTCATGTGACAAAGTTTAACAGTATAGTAACTTTCTGCTCTGGCAGAACTACAAACTTGTACTACAAGACAGACATTTTTAATCATAGGTACCTACAGTAGATGCATTTTAGTATGAAAATTTTTTTAGCGATTAATGTGTAAATTTTTGGTAACTCGTAATTCAACTAAACATGGAGTGAATTCAGTAATATTAATATATTTACATACATATATCTGGAATTTACGTACCCAGAGCAGATACAACTTCCCACAATCTGTCTCTTTGACAAATCGTTCGAAATCCGGCTTCCACCGGTTAAAACCGCTTATCCTGTCAACATTAACAAAACGTACAAAAGCATAGGTAGACTTTAGACATGACTGTCTAGGCAAACATGAAGTGTCTAAGGTAGGACTATGAAAATAGTTAGGTTTTATTATCCTTGAAGAGTTAGAAGGGTTGAAATTGGGGTTGCTAGACGTCTAGGAAATCCAGGATTAAGTAGGTATATCAAGTCCAATAATTTTACAGTTCAGTTTTTTCTCTCGCTCTCATCAAATGGCGATTCTTTGTAATGGAACGAGACGTATTACTAGTAGGTACTGTCAGCGTCAAATACTACATGACACCTAAAGTAGCCAAAAAGCTCGCAACACGTCTTTGTTACAATTGGATGGAATAAGGTTGCGTTGCGTTGTCAACTTATTGACCACTTTGATGTCACGAACTATTTGACGCTGACTGTACAGCGTGGTACGTACAGACGATGGTACAAGCTAGACACTAAAAGCAGCTTTTTAAAAGGAACAATGAAAAATTGACATGCCTATTCCAGGACATGGTGTTGACAGGATTATGAGAGTTCTAGCTTTTGCCCGCGGATTTGCCCGCGTGAAATTTTATCTGTCACAGAAAAGCTTTATCGCGCGCGTCTGTTTCAAAAAGCGGGAAAAAAACTATACTTATGTCATTTTTTGTGACTCATACTATCTCTATATCAAACATCCAAATCGGTTCAGTGGTTTATAAGCGTAAAAGTGTACTAACAGTCAGACGGAGTTACACTCGTATCTTCTATATTATACTCGTAAAAGCGAAAGGTCACTGACTCACTCACTCATCAGGAAAGAACATTGGCAGAAACCTATGTAGTGTTGGTACCGTCTTTAGACGGAGTGTACAACAATGAAAATATTACCAATTTCTTTGTCTTGATTTATACAACAAAAAATGTAATCATACCATATTTCTACAACTTCAGAATAAAAAGATAAATTCAATGTTATGATAATACGGAACAAGGTTAACAAAACGCTTTGAAGGTTAACAGAACGCTTGAACATGGAGAACAAAACGTTTTAAATGTCAATTGTCATTTTTTGACATGTTTAATCTGACTGATACTGACAGAAAAAAATAATAATGTTTAAAACAACGAAGTGATCAAAATAATATTATCGTTTTATCTTTTATTCAGGATGATTTTAAAGGCAGTTACTTTCTGTTGGATTGATGCTCATTAGATAATACGCATCGCGAGTGCTCGCCTAAACAAGAGATATTCTTTTATCTTTATTTTTCTAAAGATTACTATTTATACACATTCATAAAATAGACAAGGCTTTAATGGGGAACTTTTATTCAAGTCAACATAATAATGCTATCAAGAAGTTTAATAAATAAAAACAAAAGTTAAAATCAATATACTGCTTTATTCAATGTTTATTCTTACAAGAATTCCATCTAACACTTGTGCAGGTGGTGATATATTGTCTAAGTGACGAGCATAGGCTAAATACCATACGATACTCATCACATGTGAGCAACACCCTACTGTCCTCAAACCCACAATACAGTTGCAACAATATCCTATGATGGCACGCCTCCTCATGATTATCTTCCTGTAGTTCATGTGAGTCAGGAGGGTCATCTGTCTCCAACGGTTGGGATGCAGTCTCTGGTGACTCAGAACCTTGCCGTGCTGCTTCATTTGCAAGTTGCCAACAAGCATGGCAAATACTATCCATGAGGTTGATCTAAAAAAACAAATTCATTTAATAGTGAAATGTTCACATTATTTTTCAACAAAAGTGACCTTTTTCTTCTTTCTTAAAGTACTTACATTATTAGGATCCAGCTTTTAATGATGTTGATGACATTTTCGTCTTCGTTTCTCAATAAGTGGCCATTGCTATGTAACAAATCTTTGTTGCAATTGACACATGTTGTTAATTCTTCATTTATGTTTCTGGCCTCATCAACCAATTGCTGACGACGGAGAGTTCTCTGAGCGCGTAACCAACATGCGGTACATGCTTGATCACTTTGAGTAATCTAAAACATAACAATATAGATCAAATCCTAGTTATTCTAAAAAAAATGTATAAAGACATATTTATTGTACGGACACACAGAACAGAGACAATTATTTATTTATTTTATTTTGTTCGGAAAACATACNTAGTTATTCTAAAAAAAACGTATATAAAGACATATTTATTGTACGGACACACAGAACAGAGACAATTATTTATTTATTTTATTTTGTTCGGAAAACATACAGTGAAACAATAACAGTCTAAAAACCACTGCTTATGAAACTACATATACACCATTTACTGTTTTCGCATTTGTGTAACAATAGTATAATTAAATAAAGAAAGCCAATTAAGATATTGCCAATTATGGTATTACATTTACCTGTCTTGGATGTATCCACTGTGATATAATAGCAACTATTGGGCCTTCTTCATTTGTAGGAGTTTCTCTCAATATTCTGCGAGAACTGACTAAAAATCGAGCGGCCGCATCCTACACAAATGTTGTGACCAATTAGCCTCTCTTGATTCTCAACAATGTTTGCTCCAGTGACTTGAGCATTTCCAAGTTCCCAAGACATGGTTACAAACAGATCACAATACACAAACAAGTATCCTTTCGCTAAGATAGTATCACAATACTAAAGAAAAGACAGGGGGAGGCATAGGGTGCTCTCAACTCGACTGTTCTTTACTTTGCAAGTAGGTAGGTATACCATAAACAGCACTTTATGATCACACCGAGACGACGAAACGTTGGAAGACCACCAAACTATGGAATGTAAACCATAGAGAAATGTAAACAAAGAACTGATTTGACAGTTGTTGTACTTGTATGTCAGTCGCGTGACGTACCTCGACGTAATGCAATGTACGATACATTGGAGTAATCGATAATAATCAATAGCCTCCATTTATTCGTCATAAATCTAATTAGCATAATACATTATTAAAATGAATATAAATAGAGCTAAACCGATAATTATATTCACTTTGTTGATTGTATCAATGGTTTTATAGATCTTAAGTCGATATCTGAATAATTGGTAAAGTAAGTTAATCGATAATCGATTTATCTGATTGAATAAAATAGTTGTAGGTTACGGCCCTAAAGAAAAGGGTCCTATTGCGTTTTATTATTGCATATTCAGGTAAGCGTTTTGTTAGCAGTATTCAAATGAAAACAAAAGTTATGTTTTCTTTATTCTCGGAAGTTGTGGAAAATCATAAAAATACGTAAAATAAGTGTCCAAGTATCGAGTATATAATATCAAGAAATCAACTCCGTACATCTTCAATTTTACTGGGTACCATGCCTGCCATTGTTCTAGACATATTTATTGTACGGACACACAGAACAGAGACAATTATTTATTTATTTTATTTTGTTCGGAAAACATACAGTGAAACAATAACAGTCTAAAAACCACTGCTTAAGAAACTACATATACACCATTTACTGTTTTCGCATTTGTGTAACAATAGTATAATTAAATAACGAAAGCCAATTAAGATATTGCCAATTATGGTATTACATTTACCTGTCTTGGATGTATCCACTGTGATATAATAGCAACTATTGGGCCTTCTTCATTTGTAGGAGTTTCTCTCAATATTGTGCGAGAACTGACTAAAAATCGAGCGGCCGCATCCTACACAAATGTTGTGACCAATTAGCCTCTCTTGATTCTCAACAATGTTTGCTCCAGTGACTTGAGCATTTCCAAGTTCCCAAGACATGGTTACAAACAGATCACAATACACAAACAAGCATCCTTTCGCTAAGATAGTATCACAATACTAAAGAAAAGACAGGGGGAGGCATAGGGTGCTCTCAACTCGACTGTTCTTTACTTTGCAAGTAGGTAGGTATACCATAAACAGCACTTTATGATCACACCGAGACGACGAAACGTTGGAAAACCACCAAACGATGGAATGTAAACAAAGAACTGATTTGACAGTTGTTGTACTTGTATGTCAGTCGCGTGACGTACCTTGACGTAATGCAATGTACGATACATTGGAGTAATCGATAATAATCAATAGCCTCCATTTATTCCTCATAAATCTAATTAGCATAATATATTATTAAAATGAATATAAATAGAGCTAAACCGATAATTATATTCACTTTGTTGATTGTATCAATGGTTTTATAGATCTTAAGTCGATATCTGAATAATTGGTAAAGTAAGTTAATCGATAATCGATTTATCTGATTGAATAAAATAGTTGTAGGTTACGGCCCTAAAGAAAAGGGTCCTATTGCGTTTTATTATTGCATATTCAGGTAAGCGTTTTGTTAGCAGTATTCAAATGAAAACAAAAGTTATGTTTTCTTTATTCTCGGAAGTTGTGGAAAATCATAAAAATACGTAAAATAAGTGTCCAAGTATCGAGTATATAATATCAAGAAATCAACTCCGTACATCTTCAATTTTACTGGGTACCATGCCTGCCATTGTTCTTTATAATGTCCAATGTGTCGTCTGTACTCTACGTTATACATTTGGCCGCCTAATGTCGTGCAATTTCCTATGAGTTACTTTTGAGGCAATGGGCGATTCTTGATTCGTTCGTTTCAGCACTTTCAGCCGAAAGACGTCCACTGCTGGATAAAGGCCTCCCCAAGGATTTCCACAAAGACCGGTCCTGCGCCGCTCGCGTCCAGGCACCTCCCGCGACCTTCACCAGATCGTCGGTGCACCTAGTGGGAGGCCTGCCTACGTAGGTCTAATTAAGAATATATTATTTTAATTACCATTGCGAGTACATAAAACCATCGGCCTTCAATCACGCACCAATTGTACCCATAATCCGTTACATATTCCGTTGTTTCTTCTAGTATGTTAGCATAATAATTAAAATTTTACGAGTATAGAGTCTCTGACACATTTCAATAGTGTGTTGGTGCTAAATCCACTCGAAGATTGAATCTCTACCTGTAACCTGGGCTAGTTACTATAATCAGCTGTATGGATGATTTGGGTTTGAGAACATGTCTCTATTTCACTGTACAAAAAATTGAAGAATTAGTAGAAATAATGGATTTTTTTTTTTCTAAAGATCGAATATTGACTAATTTTTGTTATAATATCACAGAGACAACACTAAATTATTTATTTATTTAATTCAATGTCTTTTAAATGCTACGTTTTCTCAAATTATGTGAATATATTTATTGGAATAGGAACTTAATCAAATTTTCTTTTTTGTTCCAGTGCACCGTGCTGAAGTCCTGCGGCGAGGAATGTGTTATTGCAGTCAAAGCAAATACAGCTCTCGACAAATAAACCAACTCAGCATTTATAGGGATATAACAAGCGTATAATTTTTTTACAATCAACAACTCTTACATAAATGTAAAACATAATATTATGTATAATTTAACGTAAAATATTGAGGACGGCGCGGCGCTTGCGAATACTCTCAACTATTCGCCCATTGTGATGATATTACTGTGACCTCCGCCGTCGTGCAACCCTTATGCGGTCCTTTGTATTAAGGATTCGATTCTAGAGACTTGGGACGGTTTATTGTATGTATAGAAGAGTCTCTAGTCCAGGTGCTGAAAACGCCGTCGGATATTATAATAATTCGAGCCGATCGCGTTTTCAGTACTGGAACACGTTGGCCGACCGGCATCGTTGTATCGAGCGTGTGGATGTAAACAAATGAAATGTGTATCAATGAAATAGTGCGCGAGCGGCGCCGCACATTTATTTATTTACGCGCAATAGTGTACCGAGAGAGATAGCCAGTGTACAGGAGCACATGGAACGGGAAGATGTAGATATGACTCTGGACAAGACAATAATATCGGTAAAGCCTAGCTGTGCGTGTGCGCATGCCGTCTCGCTCTCGCGCTGCTCGCGTGCGCATGCCGTCTCGCTCCCGCGCCGCGGGCGTGCGCGCGCTGTCTCGCTCCCACGCCCACGCGCGCGCATGCCGTCTCGCTCGCGCCGCTCGCCGCACAATCGCGCGCCGCGCCCCGCTAACTTCACGTTTGTATTTTTTTGTTACGTTTGTCTTTTCGCTTCACTCGCCGATAGATCGTTGATCGACGTCGGTTATTAAAATTCCCCGTGGAAGATAATTTAATGTTTTATACCCGTGCGAAAAGATTAACGCAAACTTGGAGTTATTACCATATTTTAATGCTAAATTAATTAATACATATAAAAAATCAAGAAAATAAACAAAAAAATAGAAATAAACGAAATTCTTGAATGTGGTGTGTGATTGATTAGTCCTGTTTTGGGGCGTCCCGCGCTCCCGCCTCCCGAGGCGTTATATCCCTTCGTGTGTAACACTTGCCATCTGTTCAAATAATTTCTAAGTTCCGCTAACCTAACTTGTGCTAAATCGTTAAAGACTGATGGACTGTCGCTTGTGAAACGAATCTTCAGTGGAGACTGAAATGCATTTTGTATGAAATAGTTGATTTTTGTATGACTAACGTTTGGCTAGACACGGCCTTTCCTTGCTCTCTTGATTTGAATATTTGAACATATGAAATTGTTACACATAATCGAGTGGCTTATGTTTGCCTGAATCCGTGTTAGTGGCGCGTGCGTCGCACGGCAAGTGTTGCTTCAAGGGCACTAGGGTAACATTCTGCTTGTATGTCGGTGGACTTCGTCGTTAACATCAAATTGTCAAAGACAAATTGATATACGATAATTATGTAAGAATGTAAGGTAAGGCCCTATAGGAGAGATATTTTTTTATGCATTCAAAATTCGTACATCGCAGTTGTAGACTCACTAGGCTGTTTAGACAACAGCTATCTGTACATTTTTTTCCTCAAAATTGCATAATCGTTATTGTTGGTCAAGTTTTATACTTAGCAGCTTGTAATCGGGTTTTTATTTTATAAATAAAATAAACCTAAAGTATGTGTAAAGACATCGCGAGGTGTAAAAATAAAATACTTTAGTAAATATATATAAAGTTTTCATTTGGTCAGATAGTAGTTCCCTAAGATCTTGGTGTAATACTGAATGTCTTGTATAATATCCGACGCATAGATTGCGTATGTATTTAATGTGAACTTATTTATTCTTACCAAGTAGTTATTCGTCGGTGCACCCATACTTTGTCATTAGGAATTGATTCACTGCACGACAGTCGCCGCTTATGTCCTAAACCTGTAAGACGAGCTATAGCGTTGGAACTCCGCGTCATATCTATTGGCACTGCATTTACTTTACCGACCCAACTCACAACTATGTAGACTTATGGCCAAATTTATAGCTCGTACCCTAATGTTCACCATTTCTATAATATTGACAATGTATATCTTAGGAGCAGTTAGACCTTATGATCGAGAGATGGGACTTATTTATTTACATTATTCTGTAGATGTGCGGATTTTATTTAGGAATCTTAAATTATTTTTTATATTGGGGCGAAGGTCAGGTTTAATAACGGAATGTTGAAGCTCTGTATATACGTAAGAACATACCAGTTGACAAAATATAAATCCATACTTGCAGTTTTCTACGTATATTTATGTCAAATGTGCAAAATTTCTACCGAATTTAATAATAGCAACGGCCAATAAATGAATGTAAATGCAGTAATAAGTTTTCAGTCTGTCGAATTAAATCTGTACAAAACGAACGATCGTGTCTGTGATTCATCACCTCTTTATGTAGATTTTTGTACGTAGATAAGTAGTGTAGATTTTTAGTTGCTTTTTATATTTTTTACGACCCCTATTTTAGTTTTTTACCAGCTTTTATATTCAGACGTATATGTTATTATGGGTTAATTGGTCAATAGGTAATGTGTCAATTGTTTTATGAACTGCAGATCTGATATTAAAAAAAAACATGGATATTTACCTACCTACACTATTTCACTACATTACAAACTTGATTAATTTCATTGCGGGTCCAATGACAGATTGACTTTCCCATGGGACAAACTTTACCTTCACTGGTTGGGTTTTTATTGGCGGTCAAGCTGTAGATCCTGGCGACACAGGAGTTGCAGCGGTGGGAATAGTAACCTACTTGACCAACTATTTTACTTTGATCCGACGATGTACCGGCTCCGGCTACAAAGTCAAATAATAGAGAGGAGAAAATAATCTACAGAGAATAAGAGCAGCTGAAATTATTGCACTACAACCATAGCAACAACACTCGCAAGTACAAAACACCAATTAGGTACCAGCTAGGTTCATGGATGATAAGGCCCGCACACGGAAACGTAGCTTCACGCATATTCATCATTGTTACTTCTTGGTGCTACGTCCTACGCCTGCTTGCAGCTTATGAAGAAACTACTGGAACAGGAAAGTGACAGCTACATGCAGGGTCTAAACTCCTTCGAAAAGTTTTTTTAGTTCCGTATGCTATAGGCATAAAGCTATGCCTCCTTCCGTCATACTACACATTTATAAATTACACCTTTTTCCTCTTAATCACTAAGTTGAAACCTGTTTAAAATAAACTTTGTTCCTTTACATTTAGTGCAAAGATTACTTTATCATTATTTCTGGGAAAATAAAACGAGTACGTAATAAAAAAGAATAATTTAATACTTTATTGCCTCGTTAAAAGTAATTTAAGATATGTACACGGCAGTAAGTTTTTATTTTAGACTAACATGATTAAATTAACACCAAAACTGTATTTGGAACTATTGTTTGACTGTAATAACAACGATAAATTCTTGCTATGAGAGTTATAGAATCTAGAAGAAACGCATAGGAAGTCCCTGTTCTAGAAAGGTTATAGGTGAACAAACTGGAAAAAGAGACTGAAGTAAAATCAGAACACTTGAATATTTAACAAATACTAGATATTTCCAATAAATAAAATACACTTTCTGGAACAAACTGTCAGTTCACTCTTCAGTTTCAATGCTCAATATTTAAAAAATATTTTTACTAAAGGCAACATATACAAATAAATAGTAGCTGTTTGTGAATATACCTCAGTATTAACTTTTTCGTAAACAACACTATACACTCGTAAAACAGTCAATAAAATTTTAAAAGGCAATGCAA